GAGGGATCCGGTCCCGGATCGCCTAATATTCGTCCGGGACATCAAATACGACCTAAGAAACAAGTGTCACCGCCCCGCCATGACCAAATTACATTTTTTGGCATTTTACGGCCATAAAACTCGAAATCCGCGTGAGTCCCAAACTTTCGTGTGCTGTGGACCACGCCTTCTACCGTGGGCCCGGAGGGATCCGGTCCCGGATCGCCTAATATTCGTCCGGGACATCAAATACGACCTAAGAAACAAGTGTCACCGCCCCGCCATGACCAAATTACATTTTTTGGCATTTTACGGCCATAAAACTCGAAATCCGCGTGAGTCCCAAACTTTCGTGTGCTGTGGACCACGCCTTCTACCGTGGGCCCGGAGGGATCCGGTCCCGGATCGCCTAATATTCGTCCGGGACATCAAATACGACCTAAGAAACAAGTGTCACCGCCCCGCCATGACCAAATTACATTTTTTGGCATTTTACGGCCATAAAACTCGAAATCCGCGTGAGTCCCAAACTTTCGTGTGCTGTGGACCACGCCTTCTACCGTGGGCCCGGAGGGATCCGGTCCCGGATCGCCTAATATTCGTCCGGGACATCAAATACGACCTAAGAAACAAGTGTCACCGCCCCGCCATGACCAAATTACATTTTTTGGCATTTTACGGCCATAAAACTCGAAATCCGCGTGAGTCCCAAACTTTCGTGTGCTGTGGACCACGCCTTCTACCGTGGGCCCGGAGGGATCCGGTCCCGGATCGCCTAATATTCGTCCGGGACATCAAATACGACCTAAGAAACAAGTGTCACCGCCCCGCCATGACCAAATTACATTTTTTGGCATTTTACGGCCATAAAACTCGAAATCCGCGTGAGTCCCAAACTTTCGTGTGCTGTGGACCACGCCTTCTACCGTGGGCCCGGAGGGATCCGGTCCCGGATCGCCTAATATTCGTCCGGGACATCAAATACGACCTAAGAAACAAGTGTCACCGCCCCGCCATGACCAAATTACATTTTTTGGCATTTTACGGCCATAAAACTCGAAATCCGCGTGAGTCCCAAACTTTCGTGTGCTGTGGACCACGCCTTCTACCGTGGGCCCGGAGGGATCCGGTCCCGGATCGCCTAATATTCGTCCGGGACATCAAATACGACCTAAGAAACAAGTGTCACCGCCCCGCCATGACCAAATTACATTTTTTGGCATTTTACGGCCATAAAACTCGAAATCCGCGTGAGTCCCAAACTTTCGTGTGCTGTGGACCACGCCTTCTACCGTGGGCCCGGAGGGATCCGGTCCCGGATCGCCTAATATTCGTCCGGGACATCAAATACGACCTAAGAAACAAGTGTCACCGCCCCGCCATGACCAAATTACATTTTTTGGCATTTTACGGCCATAAAACTCGAAATCCGCGTGAGTCCCAAACTTTCGTGTGCTGTGGACCACGCCTTCTACCGTGGGCCCGGAGGGATCCGGTCCCGGATCGCCTAATATTCGTCCGGGACATCAAATACGACCTAAGAAACAAGTGTCACCGCCCCGCCATGACCAAATTACATTTTTTGGCATTTTACGGCCATAAAACTCGAAATCCGCGTGAGTCCCAAACTTTCGTGTGCTGTGGACCACGCCTTCTACCGTGGGCCCGGAGGGATCCGGTCCCGGATCGCCTAATATTCGTCCGGGACATCAAATACGACCTAAGAAACAAGTGTCACCGCCCCGCCATGACCAAATTACATTTTTTGGCATTTTACGGCCATAAAACTCGAAATCCGCGTGAGTCCCAAACTTTCGTGTGCTGTGGACCACGCCTTCTACCGTGGGCCCGGAGGGATCCGGTCCCGGATCGCCTAATATTCGTCCGGGACATCAAATACGACCTAAGAAACAAGTGTCACCGCCCCGCCATGACCAAATTACATTTTTTGGCATTTTACGGCCATAAAACTCGAAATCCGCGTGAGTCCCAAACTTTCGTGTGCTGTGGACCACGCCTTCTACCGTGGGCCCGGAGGGATCCGGTCCCGGATCGCCTAATATTCGTCCGGGACATCAAATACGACCTAAGAAACAAGTGTCACCGCCCCGCCATGACCAAATTACATTTTTTGGCATTTTACGGCCATAAAACTCGAAATCCGCGTGAGTCCCAAACTTTCGTGTGCTGTGGACCACGCCTTCTACCGTGGGCCCGGAGGGATCCGGTCCCGGATCGCCTAATATTCGTCCGGGACATCAAATACGACCTAAGAAACAAGTGTCACCGCCCCGCCATGACCAAATTACATTTTTTGGCATTTTACGGCCATAAAACTCGAAATCCGCGTGAGTCCCAAACTTTCGTGTGCTGTGGACCACGCCTTCTACCGTGGGCCCGGAGGGATCCGGTCCCGGATCGCCTAATATTCGTCCGGGACATCAAATACGACCTAAGAAACAAGTGTCACCGCCCCGCCATGACCAAATTACATTTTTTGGCATTTTACGGCCATAAAACTCGAAATCCGCGTGAGTCCCAAACTTTCGTGTGCTGTGGACCACGCCTTCTACCGTGGGCCCGGAGGGATCCGGTCCCGGATCGCCTAATATTCGTCCGGGACATCAAATACGACCTAAGAAACAAGTGTCACCGCCCCGCCATGACCAAATTACATTTTTTGGCATTTTACGGCCATAAAACTCGAAATCCGCGTGAGTCCCAAACTTTCGTGTGCTGTGGACCACGCCTTCTACCGTGGGCCCGGAGGGATCCGGTCCCGGATCGCCTAATATTCGTCCGGGACATCAAATACGACCTAAGAAACAAGTGTCACCGCCCCGCCATGACCAAATTACATTTTTTGGCATTTTACGGCCATAAAACTCGAAATCCGCGTGAGTCCCAAACTTTCGTGTGCTGTGGACCACGCCTTCTACCGTGGGCCCGGAGGGATCCGGTCCCGGATCGCCTAATATTCGTCCGGGACATCAAATACGACCTAAGAAACAAGTGTCACCGCCCCGCCATGACCAAATTACATTTTTTGGCATTTTACGGCCATAAAACTCGAAATCCGCGTGAGTCCCAAACTTTCGTGTGCTGTGGACCACGCCTTCTACCGTGGGCCCGGAGGGATCCGGTCCCGGATCGCCTAATATTCGTCCGGGACATCAAATACGACCTAAGAAACAAGTGTCACCGCCCCGCCATGACCAAATTACATTTTTTGGCATTTTACGGCCATAAAACTCGAAATCCGCGTGAGTCCCAAACTTTCGTGTGCTGTGGACCACGCCTTCTACCGTGGGCCCGGAGGGATCCGGTCCCGGATCGCCTAATATTCGTCCGGGACATCAAATACGACCTAAGAAACAAGTGTCACCGCCCCGCCATGACCAAATTACATTTTTTGGCATTTTACGGCCATAAAACTCGAAATCCGCGTGAGTCCCAAACTTTCGTGTGCTGTGGACCACGCCTTCTACCGTGGGCCCGGAGGGATCCGGTCCCGGATCGCCTAATATTCGTCCGGGACATCAAATACGACCTAAGAAACAAGTGTCACCGCCCCGCCATGACCAAATTACATTTTTTGGCATTTTACGGCCATAAAACTCGAAATCCGCGTGAGTCCCAAACTTTCGTGTGCTGTGGACCACGCCTTCTACCGTGGGCCCGGAGGGATCCGGTCCCGGATCGCCTAATATTCGTCCGGGACATCAAATACGACCTAAGAAACAAGTGTCACCGCCCCGCCATGACCAAATTACATTTTTTGGCATTTTACGGCCATAAAACTCGAAATCCGCGCGAGTCCCAAACTTTCGTGTGCTGTGGACCACGCCTTCTACCGTGGGCCCGGAGGGATCCGGTCCCGGATCGCCTAATATTCGTCCTGGACATCAAATACGACCTAAGAAACCAGTGTCATCGCACCGCCCTGACCAAATTATATTTTTCGGCATTTTACGTCTGTAAAACTTGAAATCCATGCGAATCCTAATTTTTCGTGTGCTGTGGATCACGCCTTCTGCCGTGGGCCCGGAGGGATCCGGTCCCAGATCGCCTAATATTTGCCCTTGACATCAGATACGACCTAATAAACCACTGTCACCACACCGCCATGACCAATTTACATTTTTTGGCATTTCACAGCCATAAAACTCGAAATCCGCGCGAGTCCCAAATTTTCGTGTGTACTGCGACGTATGGACCCACGCCTTTACCGTGGGCCGGAGTGGATCCGTCCCGGATCGCCTAATATTTCATCCTTGGACATCAAATACGACCTAAAGAAACCAGTGTCACCGCACTCCATGACCAAATTATATTTTTTGGCATTTTACCCATAAAACTCAAATCAAGTCCCAAATTTTCTGTGTGTTGGACCACGCCTTCTGCCGTGGGCCCGGAGGGATCCGGTCCCGGATCGCCTAATATTCTCCGTTGACATCAAATACGACCTAATAAACAAGTGTCACCGCCCCGCCATGAAAATTACATTTTGGCATTACGGCCATAAAACCGAAATCCGTGGAGTCCCAAACTTTTCGTGTGCGTGTGACCACGCCTTCTCCGTGGGCCCGAGGATCCGTTCCGGATCGCTCTAATATTCGTCCTGGACATCAAATACGACCTAAGAAACCAGGTCACCGCACCGCCATGACAAAAAATTACATTTTTTGGCATTTTCGGCCAAAACTCGAAATCCGCGCATCCCAAACTTTCGTGTGCTGTGGACCACGCCTTCTGCCGTGGGCCCGGAGGATCCGTCCCGGATCGCCTAATATTCGTCGGACATCAAATACGACCTAAGAAACAGTTCACCGCACCCCATGAACAAATTACATTTTTGGCATTTTATTAGCCATAAAACTCGAAATCCGCGAGTCCCAAATTTTGTGTGTGGACCACGCCTTCTACCGTGCGGCCCGTGTATGTGATCCGTCCGGGAATCGAACCTGAAGAGTCGTTTGGTGTACATCAAAGACGACCGAAGAAAACCTACTTGTGTGCAGGGGCACCGCTGGTTCTGTGTAGTGACTACCAGGACCAAGGAACAAGGGGGTGGCAGGGGACCAACCAGAAACGGCGAGAGATGTCGCTGTGGTGGTGTGGTGGGGCGGAGGCCCAAAGGGCGTGGGGAGGGACCACGCCGGCGGCCGGGGGCCGAGGAGCCGGGCCCGGAGCGCCGAAAAGAGGCGGCCGGGACAGGTAGAGAGCGACCGAGAAACAAGGGAACCGCCCCCCGCCGAGGACCAAAGGACAGGGGAGGGGACGGGCCAGTAAAAAAGCGAAAGCCGCGCGTGTGTAGGACCAAAACGGGCGGGGGCGAGGGACCACGCCTGCGACGGGGGCCCGGAGGGCTCGGGGCACGGGCGGGCCGAAGGAGTGCGGCCGGGAGCGTAGTGAGAGTAGTGAGGACCGAAGAAAACGAGGGGCACGCCCCGCCAGACAAAAAGGACAGGGGGGGCAGGGGAGGGCCAGAAAACGCGAAAGCCGCGCGAAGGCCCAAACGGGCGGTGGGGGGGACCACGCCGGGCGGCCGGGGGCCGAAGGGAGCCGAGAACCGGAGCGCCCGAAGGGGCGGCGGTCGGGGAAGCGATAGTATGTCGAGTGTGAGAGAGTGAGCGGTGGGGGTTTGGCATCTCTGGACTCACCAGGTACCTCATATATGTGTATTTGAGGTGTGGGGGGAGGGGACGGCTAAGGAAATATGCGCGATATGTAGTCTTGCGGCTGAGGCCCAAAACGGCCGCGCAGGGGCGGGGGACCACACCCGGCGGCCAGGGGCGCGGAGGGAGCCCGGGGGCCCGGAGGCAGGTCGCGAGAGAGGGCGGCCGGGACATGGAGGAGAGAGCGAGAGGCGAAGAAACAAGGGACCGCCCCGCCGGACAGAGGAGGACAGGGGGCAGGGGACGCTCAGAAGACGCGAAAGCCGCGAAGAGGGACAAACGGGCTGCGGGACCACGCGGGCGACCGTGGGTCGCCGGAGGGCGGGGGCCCGGAGCGTCCGAGAGTGTCTGTGTCTCTGGTGAGCTATGAGTATGATGTATATGAGTGCTCGAAAGAATACATTTTTTTTAGGCTATGCGCTTTTATTTTTCCGCGCGTGGAGCGAGGGATGAGAACAATGGGGGGGGGTATGTGTGGACGGCCCAGATAAACGTCTATAATGCGGCTGTATTGTTGTGGGAGGCCCAAACGGGCGGGGGCGGGGTGCGGACCACGCCCGTTTGCGTAGATGGGTGCTGCCGTGAGGTGCCGTGGCGGCGTGGTGAGCACCGAAGAGGCGGCCGGGACATCAAAGGATCGATATCTTGTAATGTAAATTGACATTGAGGGTTGGTCTATCGCCCCGCCAGGACCAAAGGACAGTGGTCTGAAGCGGCGAGAGAATGCGCGAAAGCGCGGGAGGGGCCAAACGGGGCGGGGGCGGGGGACCACGCGGCGGACGGGGCCGGGAGAGCCGGGCGCGGGGAGCGGGCGCGGAGAGAGCGGCCGGCGACCAGCAAAGACGACGACATAACAATTATGTTGTGCTATTCTCTCTTTTTGGTTGCGTTCTGTGTTTTTTTTGGTGTGTGTGTGGTGTTGGTGCCCACCAGGACCAAAAGGACAGGGGGGGGCAGGGGACGGCCCGGGAAAAACGCGAAAGCGCTGCGCGCAAGGCCCAAGGGCCGGGGGAGTGGACCACTGCGGCGACCGGCCGGGGGGAGCCGGGCCGGGAGCGCCCGAAAGAGGCAGCGGGAGACAGCAAAGGACGAGGGCGCGAGAGGAGAACCAGGGCACCGCAGACCGGGACCAAAGGACAGGGGGGCAGTGGACAACAGAGAGCGCGAGTAGCCGGGCGAGGCCCAAAGGGCAGGGGGAGGGAAACCACGCCGGCGGGCCGGGGGCCGGAGGGAGCCGGGCCCAGGGCGCCGAAGAGGCAGCGCGAAGCGAGGGACGACGCGAGAGAGAGAGAGACGCCCCGCCAGGGACCAAAGAAGACAGGGGGGGCAGGGGACGGCCGGGAGGAGGAAGCAGCGGAGAGATCGGCGCGGCGGGTTATGGGAGAGGCCAAACGGGCGGGGGCGAGCGACCACCCGGGCGGCCGGGCCCAGAGGGAGCCGGGCACGGAGCGCCGAGAGGCGGCCGGGACAGCAAAGACGACCCGAAGAAACCAGGGGCACGGGCCCCGCCAGAGCGAGAAAGGAGAGCGAGGGGGGCGAGGGTGAGCGCGAGAAAACGCGAAAAGCCTGCGCGAGGCCGCGTAGAGAGCGGCTGCGGGGGGAGCACGCCGGCGGCCGGGGGCCGGGGTGTGGGTGTGGTGTGGTGGTTTGGGGTGTGGTTTTTTTTTCTGTGGGGTGCCGAAGGGAGCCGAGCCCGAGCGCCGAAGTGGCGGCCGGGACAGCAAAGACGACCGAGAAAACCAGGGGCACCGGACCGCCAGGAGCTATGTGAAGGAGAGGGGGAGGGGACGGGGAGAAAAACGCGAAAGCCGCGCGAGGGGCCCAACGTGGAGGGCTAGGGACCACACCGGCCCGCCCAGGGGCCCGGACGAGCCAGGCGCCCGGAGCACCGAAGAGGCGGCCGGGACAGCAAAGACAAGCCGAAGAACAAGTGGACCGCCCCGCCAGGACCAAAGGACAGGGGGGGCGGGACGGCCAGAAACGCGAAGCCGCGGAGGGCCAAACGGGCGCGGGGGGCGGGTGGACCACGCCGGCGACCGGGGGCCCGCTAGGGAGGGGGCCCGAAGCGCCGAAGAGGCGGGCCGGGAACAGCAAGCACGACCGAAGAAACAAGGGGCAACCGCGCCACCGGACAAAGGACAATGGGGGGTGGCAGGGGACCGCCAGGCAAAACGCGAAAGCGGCGGGAGGCCCCAAACGGGCGGGGCGGCGGACCACCCGGCGGACGAGGGCCCGGAGGGGGCCGGGCCCGGGAAAAGGGGGGCAACCGAAAAAAAAAAAAGGGGGCGGCCGGGACATCAAAGACACCCGAAGAAAACAAGGGGCACCGCCCCGCCCAGGACCAAAGGACAGGGGGGCAGGGGCGCCAGAAAACGCGACAAGCCGCGGGAGGGCCAAACGGGCAGGGGCGGGGCGACCCAACGCCGGCGACCGGGGCCCGGAGGGCAGCCGGGGCCCGGAACGCCGCCCGAAGAGGCGGCCGGGGACCAGCAAAGACGACCGAGAAACAAGGCACCGCCCCAGCAGGGACCAAAGGTGACAAGGGGGGGGCAGAGGGACGGCCCGGAAAAAACACGCACTGGAAGTAGGCGCGCGGGGCGAGGCCCAAAGGGGCGGGTGGAGGTGACCCCAACGCGGCGACCGGGGTCCCGGAGGGGAGCCGGGCCCGGAGCGGCGGGGCACGGAGAGAGGAGCGGGACAGCCAACAGAACACCGAAGAAACCGGGGGCACGGGGCGAGCGCGGCCAGGAGCCAAAGGAGAGTGGGGCTGGGGGAGACGGCTCAGACAAATCGCAGAACAGCCGCGCGAGGCCCACACGGGTCAGGGGCGATAGGACCACACCGCGCGGCCAGGGGGCCCGAGGGAGCCCGGAGCACGGAGCACCCGAAGAGGCGGCCGGGACAGCAAAGACAACCGAGGAAATCAAAGGGGACCGCCCCGCAGGACCAGAAGGACAGGGGGGGCAGGGACGCCAGAAGACGCGAACAGCCGCAAGACGGGAACAACGGGCGGGGGCGGGGTACCACGCCGGCGACCGGGCGGCCCGGCAGGGATGCGGGCACCGAGCAGCACCGTACGGATGCGCCGGGACACAAAGACCGACCGAAGAAACAATCAGGGGCCATCCCCGCCCCACCAGGACCCAAAGTACAGGGGGGGGGAGGGGACGGGCCAGAAACGCGAAAGCGGCGGGAGGCCCCAAACGGCCGGGGGCGCGGACCACGGCCGGCTGTTACGGAGGCGCCGGAGGGGGCCGGGGCCCGGTAG